CTAAAGGGGATTGTATGTGTTGGATGTAGAACCATAGCTGCTGATAAGACTGCTTCATTTTATTCATATATTAAAACCTTACACTACCAATACGATGATAAAATTTTTTAGAATTTACTTACAATGAAGACATCCAAGACTATTACCACACTATTGTAGCTTTAGTAAAACTAAATCATTATCTTGGAACTACTTACTAAGGAGAACTAAACTATTTTTTGAATTAAGCACTAACTTCAGGAGGTAAGAAGAATAAAAATGTAATTGGATTAAAATATACCTATTTAAAAATTATCAATTGTGTTCTCATATTTGACTATAGTTTGTATTAGGAGTGGAATGGTTCACAAAATCCACGGTTCGGTTCGGTTCATCGTTTCGTGGTCACGGTTTTCGGTTCGTTTCGGTATGTTGATTGTTAGGAAAATCTATTATGTCTTGTATAGTACAACACGTGTTGCACAATGCTTGCACACTGTTGCACTTTTATCCACAACTTTCTTTCCACCGTCATCGTAGGTCACTCTAAATGCAAAGCGGTCCCACACAGCAGACCTATAAAGTGCTGCTGGCGCGTCTTCCAACTCCTGTTCTTTCCCACTCGCCATACCCACACAATTCTCCACAACAACTGATTTTTTTCTGCTACACCCAGCTACACTGCTTCACTTCTTCTTCTTGTTTACTACTGGTGGTTGGCTTTGGTCGCAGAACCGCCACCTTCTGCTCTGTAAACGCCTATGAGAAAAAGGAGCAGCGCATCAACTGAACGCAACACACGTGAATCGAACTGAGACAGTCGGTTCGGACGGTTTTCATAAACTGTTCCATCCCTAGTTTGTATGCGTAGTAAAATCTCAAGGGTAAAAAGAAAAGTAAGGAAGTGAGAAAAGGAATTACATACTTTTTGGTGCATCAATCTCAGCAAAAAAATAAAAAAGCCCTTTGAGAAAGTTAAACAGTTTGTCTGGGTTGTGTTATTGTCCCATTTCTTAGCTCCACTATCGGGGGGATCTCTGCACAGCAGCTGTTTGAACAAGCCTGAAAGTTGTTCTGTGGAAGGGAATTAGCAGCTGTGTTATCTGCTCCAGGTCAAAGATTTCCCACTTTGAATCACTCTGAAGCCATATTGGACATGAATAAAAAAAAATATATATATATTTTTAAAAGTCTCAGAGTGATGCTCAGCATTCATGCAGTTTCCCAACCCTTTTTTGTAATATTTTAAGGATAACTGCCCTGTAACCATTTATATACACAGTTTAGTGGATGTAAAAGCCTTTATTGGTATTATAGGAATTAAACTACCAAGGCTAGTCATTATTTGAGTTACATGCAGGCTGATAAAACATCTACAGAACTTTTTGTTGAAAGAAAGATGTGGAAATTATCTGCTGTTACTTTAAATCTTTATGCACAGTGTTGGGAGCTGGAGGTCTGTCCACCTTCCTCCAGCAGAGGGCGCCTCTAGGTCTCCTGGAGCTGAGCTGACGACCACATCTGAGATCCATCAGTCATAAGGAGACCAGCTTATAAGCAGCAGCAGGACTTCTCTCCAGCGCCAGAGTGTTAAGCCAGTTATGGTTATGTCTGATTCTCTGACTCCCAGAACTTTGAACCTTGAACCTGATCAGTTTTTGTCTTCTCTGCCTCCTAGGAAGAAACCTGACTGAACCCTGGAACTCTGGAAGAGTTTCATCTGCTGTAATCCGCCTGCCGGCTCTCAGAATCTCTCCAGCAGAATCTAACTGTCTGAACCTGCCTGCCCGCCCTCAAGAAGAGGATCGGAAGAAAGACTCTGGATCTGAACACTGTTAAGTCTGAAGTCAAGCCCTGCTGCTGCTTAGCCCTCTGCCCACTCCAAGCCTCTGGACCCAACTCGGTTCCCTCCTCCAGCTGCTAATCTGAATCACGTCACAGGTACAAACCTGCACAATTCCTCCGACAAAGATCTTCAGCATCCTGGCTAACCTAACTGTCCTTCTCTACAGAGAACCCTGTGTGACCAGTCCCGGATCTGTTTCTCTGATTCACTCAAATAACTTGTGTTTATCTTTTAATAAACAGTCAAACTTTTAACCTGCCTCCGTTGTGTTCTGCATTTGGGTTAGAACCCTGAACCCAATCATGACACACAGAAACTAAACTTTAATGATTAAAACAGTTTCATTCATGATATCCATTGGATTTTTTAAAAATAACATTATACTCGCTTGATGACACAAAGTACAAAGGCTACACTATAATTGCATGACAATTTAGAACTTAATTTAAAATGGGTAAATTAGAATATCAAAATATTGCAAAATATGGAAAAGGATGTTGTACCAGGAAACATTCTGACATCCCAACTGGATGAATAAAGAGAGGAACAATGAGATGAAATAATAAAAGATTACCCATGTACCTTTTAATTTGGGTCTTTGTCCAAATAGTTACATTAAAACAATAAAATATTTATTATAAATATAATGTATTTTTTCCCAGCATTTTTTATTGTCATTACCTTGCTAGACCAACAAAATTAACTCTCTTCATTTAACCCATCCCCTTGGGGAGCAGTGGCTGCCATTGTGTGGCGCCCAGGAGCAGTGTGGGGTTAAGGGTCTTGTTCAGGGACCCCTAGTGGCAGTCCATGATTGGGGCTCGATTTTAAGCGTAATGTTGGGTTTCCTTTAAAAACAAAAAAAACAAAAAACAAAAGAAACTTTAGCATTTCCTATGGAAGCTGAAAAATATTATTCTAAAAGATAGACAAATGCAGATTTTAAACTTGACGCATGGCGGGGACAGCCCAGAAAATTGATGATGTTGGAAGAGCAATGAGCTGCTGAGTGCACCACCAGGGCAGACATAGAGCTAAGTGCGCACAAAGACGGATTTTGCTGCTGGCTTAGGGTTTAGAGCTGGCTTAGAGTTTGTCAGAGTTAAACATGCACCAGGCAGAAGTTTAAAGAACATATGTGAGATTTAAACTCTACAGACATGATAACTTCCTGCTCAGACTGGTAACAGTGCCCTGAAACTGATCGCACACAATAGCAGGCAGTAGGTATTACCAGAACTTCATACTGCCCCTAAATCTTTTATTGGTCCAGACTACTGGACAGCTCCAGCTTACTTTAATCCCTGGTACTATGTGACATGTATTGCAATGCATCCAAAAGAAAGTTTATTGCAAATGAATCAGATTCAAACACTATTCAATTAAGATAATAAGAAGTGATCATCTGCAGAAAATAAAATAAAATGTGTTTTGCTTATTTTGATGCAAAGTTAGGTTCTGAGTGACTAGTTGTTGCAGATTAACACAAACACAAGATTTCTTTAGCAGTTGTGGTTGAATGAATTCTACCCATAATCTTACCTTTGGTTTTCTTAGAAGAGCGGCTTCACTGAATGAAAAAAAAAAAAAAACTGTGTAAAAACCTCAGGGGAGGCCACTGCTGGCCGACACCTAACAGAAACTGCTGAGTTATCACTCTATGATAACAACAGAACAACCATCAGCTTGAAACACGAGAGGCTAGATGACTGTATCATTGCTGCTCCTGGCAGCAAAAACATGCTATTTATGTAGAGGAAAAGCTACTCAGTGGGGTATAATGGGAGGCTTTGAAATGGTCATCAACAACCATAAATGTCTCTGGCTTCGATAAAGCACTGCAGCAATTTGTAACCCAAGATCCATTCTCCAGCCTCACTTCAAGTGCTTTTTCACTAAAGCAGTGAGCACCTCAGATGTGTCATTAAAGCCATCTCAAGATTCTGAAATGGCTGTAAGGCTGACGTTAAATGAAGAGTTGGATCTTTCAAGCATTCCTCTCTCCAATAATCCTATGGAGGGCGTCCAGTTGCAGAGCAGTTCCACTCGGCTTGAGAGAAACATTTTCTGAATTTAAAAGCTCACCAATTCTTCAGCATGCCACCCGCTCACATGAAGCGTTAAATTCGGCTCAAAGTGGAAGCAAAAGAGATTTACATTTTTTCTATACCGACTTTACAGCCTTTGGGTTGGCTGAAGATTTGCAGTATGGGGATTTTTTTCCCTTTCTACTTCCAACTCAGGAACTGAAATGTGTCATCATAGCTTCCTTTGACACCCTTGGGTTTTTTTTTTATCTTCAGCTAAATCCCTAAAGCAGAGACACAGAGGAAATCTCTACTAAAAGTGCTTTAAAAGTCAGAATTGGAAATTCATAATCTGTCTCAAGAACCGGTTAACCCTCCTGCTACACGAATTATTGGATTTTTAATTGAGGCTTTTTGTGAAAACAGGATTTTAAAGTACAGTATATACCAAGAAACATCCAGCTTTGAAAAAAATCTAACCTACAATATTTGTGTTAAAGATTTGAGAAAAGTTAGAAGTTATTTCTCCTACCTTAGAGCCTTTTCATGAAGTTAAAAATCTATTTAAAGTTCTCTTCTATATCAATAGGAATCTATTAGCATTTGCACTTCAATGCAACTTTATCATTAAAAAATTTTTTGCAAAAGTTTTTATATTCCTGATAGAGCTTTCTTTTTTTTTTTTAACAACATTATAATATACTGTAGTGTACTCTCCTAGCCTGACCTGTCATGCTGAGCTGGACTGCTAAGTCATGGTAGATTTGCAGGGGTGTCGTACAGCTTCCGATTTCAATGTACAGACTGAACAGGGCTGTGTGGAAAGTCTGAAGCCTGGATTATTGCTTAATATCTGGACAGGCATGTGTTTGCATATTATGAGACCTCTGCAAGAAACTGGTTAGAGGAATTTTGTTTGGTGGTTTAAAAATAAGGAGGAGATACTACCTACAAATACATAAAACAAGTTTCATACTCTAATTTTAACCATTTTCCCTCACTTATCAATCATGATCTTCCGTGTTGGGCTATAACACGAAAACCTCCCAAAAAACGTTTGTGTTAGTGGAAGTTTGGCATAAAATATAAGAATGGACAAGAGGAATAAATCATTTTGTAAGAAAGTGTAGTATTAAGTAGCTCCTTACCCGCATTCCCAGCTCGATGTTCTCGCCTCCATATACTTCCATGCCTGGATCAAGCAGGCCAATCTCACCAAAGTATTCCCGATCAACCACAAAGGAGCACCCAATCATAGCTGGAGTCCTGCACAGCAAAGAAATAAAGATAAATGAAACACATATGAACATTTTTTTATGATTCTAAGTGCTCGGAGCCGGTTTCGTTTACCACTCAGGATGAAGTCACCAAACTCAAAAAACTCTACATGGCAAGGCTTCAGGGGTGGACTAAGTCTGTCCTGAATACTTTAGAGCTCTGGCTGTTGTTGGGCTGTCTTGTATGACACACCTCTCAACATTGCATAGAGGTCCGGGATAGTCCCCCTGTATTGGCAGACTGATGATGATTGGTGGTTCCTCTAAATGAGAAAGATGATAGGAGGGTTTGTTCCCAATATATGGGAATTACACTCCTCAGCCTCCCTGGTAAGGCCAATACCAGGGTGGTGGAGAGGAGAGTCCGGCTGATGGTCAAACTTCGGTTTTAGGAGGAGCAGTGTGGTTTTTGACCTGCCTGTGGAACAGTAGACCAGCTTTACAGCCTTTGCAGGGTGCTCAATGGTTCATGGGGGTTTACCCAACACTTCGACATGTGCTTTGTGGACCTGGAAAAGGTATTTGTGGGGGGCTCTGAGGAGTACAAAGTTGGAGGCGTTTTTCTAGGGGCCATCCGACCTCTGTACAAGCAGTGCAGAAGCTTGGTCCACATTAAGTCAGACCTGTTCCCGGTGCATGATGGACTGCGACAGGGTTGTCTTCTGTCAAACGTTCTGTTCATAACCTTTATGGATAAGATTTCTAGGCGAAGCAAATGCGGCACAGGGAATGGTTCGGGAACTAGCGGATCTCGTCCCTGCTTTTTGTGAATAACCTGGTTCTGCTGCCTCCCTCATGCCAGGACCTACAGCATGTACTGGGGCGCTTCACAGCTGAGTGTGAAGCGGCTGGGAAGAAAATCCGCACCTTCTAGTTTGAGGTCATGGTTTTCGTTGAACATGTTGAACATGACTGAAAGAATGAGATCTTTAATACAAGTGGCTGAAATTACCTCTCTGGAGGGTGACTGGGCTCTTCTTTAGAGAAAGGGTGAGGAACTCAGTCATTTGGGAGGGTTTTCAGGTAGAGCCACTTCTCCTCCACATCCAAATTAGTCAGCTGAGGTGGCTCGGACTTTTTTTTTTAGATGCCCCCTGGGAGGAGGCCCAGGGGACAACCCAGGACATGCTGGAGGGACTATGTGTCTGGACTAGCTGAGAGAGAATCTTTGGCTTTCCCCAGCATAGCTGGAGGTGTCTTTGCAGTGGGAAGTCTGGGATTCTCTACTGAGACTGCTGCCCCCACAACCCGGTCCTGGATGAAGTGGGACATAACAATGATTTTTAACGATTCTTAATATCCATCCATTTGTTTTTCCACGGTAGTCAGATGATGATATGCCTCTGTTAAACTAAAGGAATCTGCTCTTGGATCTATGTGCTAATGTCAAAACTCAAAGTTTATATCCGCATAAACAAAGCACATTTCAGACTGAAAATGATCTTCTAAAAGAAAAAAGGCAAGAGGGGAACATAAAGATCTTTTCATTTTATTGCAGATTACACTTAGCAGTGCAGCCCATATGAGAATTCTGTTCTACTTGCACATCAGCACAGACAGAGGCTTAAGAGATTAAGAAATAATGTGGGCATGTAAAGTTAATTTTTTTTTTAAAGGGGAAGGTAAAATAATCTGATAAAATGACAACTACAGTATGGAAAAAAGGTTTGGTTTCCTGTTACAATAAAGCAGGTATATTTCTGTATTCTCAAACTTGATTAAGGTCAATGTATTTTTTATAGGGTTGACTTTTATTTGTTTCTTTTTAAATGAGTGCTCTAAAGTAATTATTCTCTGTAAATGTTTATCTTGAAAAAACTGTAGTCAGTTCACTTAACTAAGGCTTCTTAAAATTATGAAAACAACACTTCAAACTAGGCTGATCACCTGCTTATTAAGTTAGGGTCATCCAGGGGCTGAGTGATATGACAACCTTAGCATGTATGCAGTACAATGGAGAATTTTTTCATGGTTTATGTTGATAGAAGTTTAGTCTAACTATCGTTATCAAAGAGAAGTCATGTTAAAAAAGTTTTTTTGGATCACTTATTATTAACATCATCTCAGATGTGCTGCAGCTGATGGTCAGAGAAAGCAGCATTAGTAGGATGGGGGTAAGATCTCTTACACTACAGGTACTCATTAAAACACAATACATCAGGTTTTCAGACTACAGGTATACCCCCTTTAAAATGATAACTATGATGAACTTGCAAAGGCAGATCAACAAATACAAGCTGAAACCTCATAAATTAAGAACTCTGTCATTAACAGTAACAGATGTTAAAAAAACAACAACAAGAAACTAAGATTAAAAACTAAAGTTCACCATGTTATGTGGAGGAGGCAGAAAAAACCCCCCAGCTGATCTTACCTGCATGCAAGCAGAGGAGAAAAGCATTGAACAAAGTTTCCCCCGACTCAGAAAAAGCAAAGCTAAAACAATATTATCTAGTGCTGAAAATAATTTATGACAGCACGCAGTGCTTTAATTCTGTGGAGCACACTTACAGTAAGATAACATTCCCTCTCATCGACACACAGTGAACCCCACTCTCCACAATGAGGTTAAAACCAAATCTCTGGATCACTTTAAGCAGATAGGATGGCTCTAACATGTGATGCAAGGACTCTTATGTCACTGCGACCGCCTGTTTTTTCATGTGTGGCTGCCAGCACTAAAATAAATGCAGTAAATAAGAGTCAAAAACAAGTATAAATAAACTGTGACATGATGTGGTAGAGAAATACCAGATACCTGAGAGGAATCTGTTTTAGACAGATAATAAGTGATCTTAGACTCATGTTTTTGATGTAAAAAATTTGGTTTTCATGTTTAAAATTCCATGTATAGACACACATTCTTTAAAGAGTGGTGGAGCAGATCTTTTGTTATGTTCTAAATGAAGTATTGGAGATGGACTCTATCAGCAAATGCTGTCTCAATCCATTAGAAAAGGGATGAGACAATATTGATATCTTGATTAATTCCTAAATAAATCTGATAAATAAATAATTATCTACAAAAATGGTTGCATGCATTTTTATGTCCCTTTTTTTTAAAGGGAAATTATAGCTAGTAGGTAAAAAAAAAAGTACCAAACTAATCCTAATTTATGTTTTAGTTTTATTGATTAATGATTAATGATTTATTGAAAACAAAGTAATGAAAAATATATATACTTTAATGAAAAAAAAATATATATATATACTTGAATGAAAGTATAGAAATTAAATCAATCTTCATCTTTTAACTTTCCTTTCTCATATGTAAAACAACTCAATAAATAATAATAAGCTGAAGAGAGTCATTGGAGGAAGGAATTTTTATGATATATTTTTCATTTCTAACCATACAGCTTTAAAATTGTAGACCAAAATGATGAGTTAATAAGAAGTCAAAATTATCAATTATCTATATAAGTTTGATAAAAATGATGCCATGTAGAATTTCATTCTTTTTTAGTAAATGGGAGATGAAAAGTCTTACAAATTCTCTGTTGGTCAAAAGTCCACCTAAGGGGGCATCTGGGAGGTTTATTTATGATGACATTTGTCACTGTGTGCACTGAACAACAGCGGCATTTAACACTGGTCAAGCCCTTGTCTGACAAATCGGTTTTGAGCAGCATTTTTACAGCTGTCAAGATGAAAAAAAGCAAAGGGGCAGGACAAGTCATGAAAGAAACCATGGAGGAAAAAAACACACTGCTATGTTTTTGTCTTTTACAATTTCAATGTTTTTACAGCCTAGATTAGATAAAAAAGAAAAAACGAAAAAAAAATATATTTTTTTTTAATGTTTCCCTTTTCATTGCAAAGATCTAACAAGACATTTTCACTACCTGAGACACCTTCTACATCCCAGACCCACAGAGCAGGAAGGCAGAGCAAGAGACGGCTTTATTTCACTCTAACCTCACAGTTTAGTACTTTCCTCTTGCCAAGTCTTAAGTGTTTCAGTGGCAGCCTTTATGCTGGGAACATCATTATTGTAGAGTAACTGGGAATGATCTCAATTCATCTAGCTAACATAATAACCAGAGAGACTTAACCATGCATGTTATTACAAACATAAAGACACTCACAAGTGAAAATCTCAGCCTTGGTACTGAAGACATAGCAGTATGTAGTAGTTTTAAGAGCATCTGGGCTGTGCTGTGATTTATTGAGTCTGTACTAAGAGAGTGCATTGGGCCATACGGTGTGTAAGCCAAAGTGAAAGAAGCTTTTAAGCTCAGACCTCAGATAAAACACAGTGTGAGCCATCACTTTTGAGTGTTATTTTGGACATCCTGGATAAACGAATAAAAGAGACAACAGTGAAAACCTCTCAGAACGATGGATTTTATATTAAAAAAAAAGCCTTTTTACAAAACCTTTACTCATGTGGTGAGTATGGCTTTACATTTTTGCAGTCATATAATGTTAAATGACTTCTGTCAAATTGATTCAATACGCTTAAATTAGTTCAAAAGTAACATCAAAAAACACTGTGGCATAGTTCTTAACCACTTCCATGTGTTTATAATTCAATGAATATAGATGAAGCTGTTTTCGTCTAAACGTGACAGTGCAAATCACTGTTTATGCCTCCTCACATAACAAAATTCAGTCTTGTCAGGCATTTCAAGTGGGAGACAATGTGGCTTTTACATGCTAAAATGTACATTTGTGAGCATCCAGAAGAAACCAAGCGTTATTTGTCTCACCTGTCTCATCTTTTTGACAAACCAGCTACCTTGGTTTTCCATACAACATAAACCTGTTAGAACATTGTTTGGGCAAAGCTTCCTGGCAGCATTTTTTTCCTTTTATATTGAAAAATATTTAATGAAAAGAATGTGGTTTAAATTTTGACATAGGAAGAAAAAAATAACATGCAAATAATTATTTAAAAAACTGCAAAAACAAACATTTGCTAAGATCCGTTATATACGATAGGTGTCACTACATTCAGTGAAAAAAAAATTAAATATGGATTCATTT